GGAATCTAAGTCATAAAGGACAATCTAAAAATTCAGTTTTTAAAAACACAGCATCACGACTTAACTCATTTATATCTTCAGCAATTATTGCTCAAGCCTAACTAGTTATTTTGGGGGAAAGTACTGAATATGCAAATTCAGACATTCATTCTTTCAAAGGCTGCAATTATTCTCATCACTTCAGTAAACATATTAACAAACATTGCATCTCAACACAAATGCATTTGCTTATTAACTCGAAGCCGCATCTAAAACCACAAATTGCTTCTGTGATTAAATTACTCATTCTCCTGTCAAGCCCAAATAAAGCATTGCCTGTTGATTTAAAGCGTCTGCATATCTCCCAAAGCCAGTCCCATCCCCGCACAATTTTAGTACATTGTTTTGTTCTTTCTGCTTTGTTTTATGTTGAAATCTAAGGTAACACTTCTCTTTCTCTAGACTATTCTTTTTATTTCCATTTTCTGACATATTTTGTGTAATAGCGCAGACACCCTGGGGGGCAGTAACTTTACACAATCTGCTATGGGGTCCATTATATCCTGGGATCATTTTCAAACTACCAGAAGTCACTCAGTTTATCTTCAGTTTTGTTACTTTCAGTGTCAAAGAGTGACATTCTGTAACCTTGAGACCTAGGGCTTGGCACCCGAAGTGACACAGACAAGGAGACTGCTGGTCATGGCTGGCGCTGTGACTCTGTCCTCGTGTGGTTTGGGGGAGAGGTTCCCTGTGTCCCACTAAAGCAGTGCGGCGAATCCGTAGTAACTAGTAAAGGCAGGAGTCATGCATCAGCTCCCTTGCCTGGAGATTTGTTCACCGTGTGGGTGGCCCCGGTAGGGACAGCGATGAGGAGGTGGTGACAGAGCTCAGAGGGCACCATCAGATCACATATCAGGGCGCCTCTGAGCACTCGCCACGGCCACGCCCTCAGCGGTGACTCTGCAGCCATCATTCAGGGGGCACTTCCATGTTGGATAGTAATTTACTGTAGAAAAATGAGCCTGATTTGTAGATTATTTATGGGACATGGACCTGGTGAAAGGACTACGAGTGTTCCATCAGTTTTCCTGACTATTGCTTCTAAGACGAAATATCAGAAATATTTACGAATCAGACCTGAATGTGAGTAGGTTGCGTTAGGAACTTTAATACACTATTTTCTCAGGATACAATAACATTTGGAAGCCCAGGCCCAGAAATGGCTTATCCATTTCAGAGTTTAAACAAAGACAACCCTTTTGAATTCACATATGTTCTGCAAAAGGCAAAACAATATTTACTGAGATATTGAGAAATTTTGTGTCACCCGGGGACGAGTTCATTGATGATGAATTGTATTAGGAAGGACAGAACTAATTATATTGCTTTGTTAAAAGAAAATTAACGTTATTCAAGGAATTTCAAGTGTACCACAGCTCGGGAGAGTTTTCTAAAAGAAATGCCCCCCTGCTTTTGGTACAGGAGGAACGCATTTCAAAGAGCCGTTTTGCCTTTTCAGTAGTGAAGTCATCTAGGGAGCCTGTCTGTAAGATGAAGACTGAGGGAAAGGAAGAACCATTTATGTGAGTGGATCAAATCTTCTCTATTTTGGTTCTTTAGTCAAAACTTTGGGGCGATGGCTTTTAGATCTGAGACAATTACTGAAATAAAGTGTTTTCCCACCTGCTGTATGAGCTCCTATATCTTTCCAGCTATTAAACAGGCAGGAAAAGCATTTTATTTGGCTTTACAATTGTCCACAAAACCGCTATTTCTTTGTTATTGATCAGCTCCACACAGAAACACGGGTTTCCAACAGAGCATCCGGCGTGTTTCGTCAGGCCGTGAACCTCCTAGCTGCAGAGCTGAGATCTGTTTTCCCCACACAGACTGAACCTTGCAGGTCACGGAAACACGGTGCCCTTTGTCATGAGAATACTCCATTCAAAACTGAATTCACTGCATTTTTCCTGATTGGAGTTCAGGGGAATTTTCGCCACTGCAAACATTAAATCGCTCAGTAACTGACACACGATCTACAGGTCAAAAATTCCACCCGCCCACTTGTGATCCGCCCCCAGATTTGTTCTCTGAAGGTCAAGCGCGGCACGTGTCTTCCCACGTTCTGCTGAATTCTTAGGTACAAGGCGGACAAGCCACACGTGGAGGACAGCTCCTTCCACGTGTCCAGAAGCGCGGGATGGAGCAGGTCGCGCGTCACCACATGCGCTGAGGGGGGTGGGGTGGGGACGGGTGAAGTGGGCAGACAGGCTGGCAGCCCGCGAGGGCGCCTCCCCCACTTTGACAGGTGCCCCCCCAGTGGCTTGCAGGATGGCTCCTGGGAGCTAAGAGTGTGGCGTCCGCTGTCTACTTAAATGTACGGAGCAATCCCGGGAGAACAGTGGCCTTTCGGGGGACCAGTCATTCACTCATGATCACACGGCTGATGACGGGTCAGTTCCCCATAAACCAGGGAGCACTTGGTTCTGAATCCCACTTGCGTTCCGTGGGCTGTGACGTGACAGGAGCGGCTGGGACCTGGGGACCAGATGGCGGTGGGGGCAGGAACCAGGGAAACGTCTCCACAGACAGGAAGCTCTGAAGGCAGGGCCCTGGCTCACCACATCCACAGAAACTACAAAATGGCCCGGCACGCAGGTTCTCGAGGCATATTTGTCTCAAGAAAGCGGGGGAGGGAGGCAGGGCTTCTGATGATAGGTGTTGAGCATGAACTAGGCCACACTGAGCGCGTTCCGACCGGCTCGTGGGGCACGGCGCAGACCAGCCCTTCTCCAGCTGGGGTGTCCTTCCTGCTACAGGCTCGGAGCGCTCGTTAACGCACCCGTTCTGCCTCGGCAGGTCCAGGAGGGGGCCCGAGGGTCTGCGGGCCCACCAGACTCCCGGACGCCGGTCGCGAGGTGGTGGTGCCTGCCTCAGGCCACCCTGCACGTCGTGAGGACAGAGTGCTTAGATAGGATGTGGGTGCATCAGTGTCCTTTATTGCATTTCTTTTTGAGTTTCTATAGTTCTAGGATTTGGGGGGGAATAAGATGCGAGAAGGTTAATATGTGCTGTGGTTCCACTTCCAAACCCTACAGGCAGAATTAACATCAGAATAGAAGGAAGCGACCCAAAGTGCTCCTGCGAGTACAGACTTGCCCCGGGAAGGATCATAAGCCTGTTACACTATAAACAGAGCAAAACAAAACCCGGCAGCGGGATCTGCCACGAACGAGAAAGGTTACAGCTCTGTTTCTTTGTAATTTTGTTTTTCTTAAGCTCGAGAGAAAAGACCCGGAGCCCCCAGTTGCTGCCCTTAATTTCATTGTGGTCTCAGGAGAAATAGTGCTTTAGGCGGACGAGATTTGTGTGTGAACAAAGAAAGAAAAATCAAGAAAGTCTTGGTTTCAAAAAGGAGCAAAATGATGAAAGATTTCTTTGAGCAATAGGGACTAAACTTATGAATTTATTCATTTCCTGAAGTCACCATCATTAAAATTTCATGGTGCGCTATTTCAGATGTAGAAAATGATATAGGCATACCATCAAGTGTAATGACGAAGGTTCCTGTAACCGCTGCTCAGTTTAAGGAAAAAAACCCCAAAAAGCTAAATTTCCCAGTGTTTGTCCCCTAATCACATCCCACACTCTCTCCATGAGAGCATGAAAATATCTTAAGTTGAGGTTTATCTTTTTAATACATTTAAAAAATGTCTAGAACAGTCCTACTATGACTTGCTGTGTTTTAAAACTTGATGTAAACTGTATGAAACTGCATAATGTATTTTGGATTCTTATTAGTCGCAGTGTGTGCGACTTTTTCGTGTTTATGTAAGTTCATACAATTTTCGGAGCTGTATAATATTCCTTTTTAAGAGTCTGCACAGTCCCTGAAACGTGACAATGTCCACATTCTAACCCTTCCTGTGCTTTCATGGCATGTAATATGCCCAGGTTAAATATTTCATATATTAATGCAGCAGTTTTAGGCGGCCCACGGCAGAGAACTCTGGGCTGGAGTGAATGGGCACTGCTTCTGCTCCAGACAGTTGACATTTATGGGACTGTTGCCATCTCACTAGCTCTTTTTTTTCAATCTTCGACTGTAAAATGGGCTTCATATCTCCTGCTTTCCCAAAATTATTAGAAAGAGCAATGGAGACGATGGTTGTAAACTTTATAGAACACGTAGCGGTGTCATTTTATTAGAAGAATTACATCTTCTCAGGGGTGGAAGGCTCCGTTTTTACCGTGGGAGTGGCCTGGAGACGGTCAGACACGAATGAGTCTTAAAGGTGAAACCCCCCAGGTGTGCGAGGCAGGCTTACTGTTTCAAAACTGCTGCTTTCCCTGTTGAAAAACTCTTTGTCTAAAAGCCAGCTGCTTTTTTTTTTCCTTTCGGCTTCCCATTGATAAATATGGCCCCGGGGTTACTGCCTTTTCTGTTCCCGACCCTGTGGGTGGCATTGGGGGCCTTTGCCACCGTGTCCCCCGAGTCAATAGCACTGTGATGGCGCAGAGCCGCGGAGAATGCCTTGGGGACAGGTATTTACCCGGACAAATGGAAATGGATCGCTGAGCGCTTACCCAATTAACTTATTAAATGTGCTCAGTCAGTCTGGATAAATCACAGAAATGTGCACTTTTCCCCCAGCTGGCAGCGTGAGAAAGGCCCGAGTGGCTGAGATAATTACCTTACTTTCCACTTGTCTTTGCCTGTACGGACCCAGCCTCATGTCCCCGAGCGAACAGCCTGATCGTTCTCACCGCTTCAGAAAAGCGTGGAGAAACGTGAACTTGTAGATGCTGCCCCATTGTAGTTTCTACTGCTCTTCAACCTGACGAAGGACTGGGGCATATCCGAGCTTCAGTTATGCAATGACTGAATAATATATTCATTACCTTTCATTTATTTATACGTGAGATGATGTTTAAAGTGGATTTTATAATGTAGGTTTTCTGTTTGTTTGTTTGTTTTACAAATATACTAAAAGGGGCAAACTTGACATTTTTTACAGATGGCAGCTGAATGGAAGTGATATTAATCCAAGCCTGGACTATCGTTACAAATTGAGTGGAGGGAACCTGGTGGTGATGAACCCCAACAGGGACTGGGACACGGGAAGTTACCAGTGTTTCGCTGCAAATTCGCTGGGGACCATTGTCAGCAGGGAAGCGAAACTCCAGTTTGCCTGTAAGTTTCTATTTGCACGTCTAACACTTAACAATATGGAGCTGAATTTGTGCGGTCGTCTTGGGCTAAAAACAAGACACGGATTTTGTTTATTGAGTATATACGTTGACGCAATATGATTTTTATGATCTTTGTGTACGCTACAAGTTAGAGCCGAGAGAGGGAGAGAGAGAGAGAGAGAGAGAGAGAGAGAGAGAGGGAGGTTTCCATTTTACTGTTTGTAAAGGTTCTGTTTAGGGGTGGAAAAAGAACCCGGTTAAGAATATGTTGATTGAGCGGCTACCCTGTTTTGTGCTCTGCTGGAGCTGGAAGGATGGAGAGATTGGCAGACAAGGTCCTTGCCATGGAAGAATATTTAACTTAGAGAATTACATCGGATAAATCTGAAAATATTAAGGACAAAGACAGTGAGAAAGAGGAGAAAAGAATGTGCCCTCTTGTGACCCCCTTTGCTATTTTAGCCCGTACCCCATGACCCTCAGCGCACCCCCAAATCGAGGCCCGGCTCTGAAGCCACCTGGGTATCATGTTAATTGGGCTTCGGTGAGCATATGGCCCAACCTGAGAACATCACACTGTTTCACCAGCAAATTTGGAGTCGGGACCAGAGACCCAATTTAGTTTTTATCTTCCCACTATACCCTTGGACTACTTTCTACTTTTTGTTTCATCTTAGTAGCCTCTCTTCCTTTGCTTTACTTGTGTATTTTGTGTGTGTGTGTGTGTGTGTGTGTGTGTGTGTGTGTTTCCTGCCAGTCTGCACAGCCTGTAACTGACTTGTGAGGGTGATGCTGATGTTAAAGACCCTGATTTACTTCCGCCGCCCCCCACCCCCGCCTGTCTGCACGCCACTCCGTACCCTGTGCGGGGCCATTTTATGCACTTGTTATATTCGCCGAGTGGTACAGTGAAGGGGAAGTAAGTTTGGAAGCTAGCTAGCAGTTCCTGATGGCCTACTGTGTGCAGCTGTCTCTTAAGGACTGTGGGGAGCCTGTAAGGCCCCCCTGGGTTTGATTGGGGACTGAGCTTGTCAGGGCTCTTAGGGAATGTCTGTTTATAAGTTTTAGCAGGATTGCATGTGGCAGAAACAGTAAAACTGGTACATACACTCATTGGCTGGAAGCCACCGTTCCACTTCCCTGTGGATTTTTGTTTTCAAATTCAACAGTTGTGCAATATAGATTTAAAATATCAAATGGATTTTCTCCCCAGCACGTAATCCCGCGCACTGTCCTCTGGGTCTGGGAGCTCTTAATAAACGCTTTGGAAGGGCAGCTGTGGGGCGGGCAGCTGGGCTGGCAGCTGCCACGCGCCCCTCAGCTCCAGGCTGTCGTGGGGCACGTCTCCTCGTGGCTGCACCAGTGCCTGTACCTGTGAACAACGTCAGGCAGCTCAGCGAAGAAGAAACCAGGATGTGCCAGCCTGCGTCCCCAGCCACGTTTATGAGGGGCCAGTGGAGAGCACGTCCAGCTGAGAAGTTTAATAAAAGCACAGATCTTACGATTTTTTTGCATGTGTGCATTTGCGATGTCCCCATGATAAATAATATTTCTGAGCATCTCTGTGGCCTGCCCAGTGCCGGTACGGTCATGTACCCGGTCACCTTGTTTCACCGTCTGACAGCCCTGAGGTCACACGGCTAGGAAGAAGAGAGCCGTGTTCTAAAGCCTGGCGTTGTACTTTTCACCCAGAGTCCGTGCTTTCACCTCTGCAGAGGTTTTCACTCTAGGAAAAGAGAGAGCGGTGGGAAGCACGTGAGCTCAGCTAGGTTTATTAGGAAACTGAGCTTGTCAAGGACTTGTAGGGAATGTCCATTAAAATGTTGCCAGGATCACACAATAGAAACAGTAAAACCAGGTGCATATACCCTCGGCCAGAAGCCACCATTTAATTTCCCTGTGGATTTGTGCTGTGAAATTCCACAGTTGTATAATACGGCTTGATTTAAAGAAGCCGGTGGACCTGACAAGGTCCTTTGGACAGTAGCATATTTCTTTAGCGACATGGTGGAAGGTGCGAGAAAGACACAAGGCCCCCAGGAGAGGTGGACCTCAGAGCAAACGAGAACGCAAGCCATGCTTTCTAGGGTTTCCTCGCGTGACCAGGAAACCGGCCAGAACAGCATCAAACTGGGAGCATGGACCGTCGCTAACATACTCTTGTTCCTGAGGTGAGATGTGTCTGCAGGAGTCATTTGACACCTTGTGTAGGAAATCCGGAAGCCAGAAAGCCAAGCCGTTCCTCTGAGTGGCATCTGGGAAGGGAGTCGGCCTTGTCGTGAGACGAGGACCAGGCTGTCACCGCAGGAGCCCGAGCTCCCTGCCTCACTGGCTCCCAGGCTGCCGGGATCCTGCCACCTGAGCGCTGCCGCTCGCCTCCCACATTCCCACTAACCCACGTCCACGTCTGTCCATACTGCTGTTACCAACCAGCAGATAATCAGATGCTAAGCTCTCTTTCGGAAGGGGATGTTGCACAAACTCATGGGGTTCCCATCTGGTTGCAAAAAAGAGACACACACAACATGCCAATGAGCTACATCTAAGCCTCGGAGAAATCCGACACCTGAGGAATCCAAGTCGTTACAAATCTTCAATAAACCAGTGATTGCTGAGCTCATTTGAGGCTTCATTTCAATTAAATACCTTTATTGACCAAGTTCTCCATGCCGGTCACTGTGCGAAAAATGGGGCAGCGGGACATGCCCCGTGCCCTCCACGGACCCCCGGCTGACGGACTAAAGCGCAGGCGCCAATGGGAGGACATGACCCGGGCACGGAGCAGGGGCCGTTACCAAGGTCAGGGAGGGTATGAAAGCCGAACTCCTAGGTGCCAGGGGTCCTTGGACTTCAAAACCTGGAGCCTCCTGTAAACAGAGGCTGGCTTTATCCCGGGGAGAGCGAGGGCATCGGAGATGAACCCAGAGCTCCTGACCTCAGGCCGTCTGCGGCCTGGAAGCGGACATTACTTACCTGGGACTGTTGAAAAGGAAATGCTGTGACCTGTGCCTTTCTGCCCAGGGCGGTGGGGTCTGGAGAGTCAGAAAAGATCTTGGAGAGGAGGTGGCCCGGGGCGCGGTTTCCTGAAGCATGCCCAGGCTTCATAGCAGGGCCGCACCATGACCGCCCCCACGGGGAGCCTGCTGGCTGACCGTCGGGGGCATTTGTTGGTGCCTGTGTCACACGGGTCAGTTAAAGGTGAGTGTTGTCACCGCATTTGATTGTGAGGGATGGTGTTCTAGGCAGTGGTCCTTTTTGAAACCAGACACGTGACTAGAACAGAATCATTGTTTCTGAGTAAACTGTGCACACAGGAGAATGGTGAGAAGACTGGGCGGCACAGGTCTTACGAGCTGTCGTGTGGAATTTGAGACCTGATTTCTAGGTTGTGGAGGGTGGCCAATGCCAGAGCTGACAAGAGGACCCAGCGTGCGCTTTAGGATGTTCAGCCGGTGGGATCCCATAATGGTTTGGAGGTGAAGAGGTTAGAAAAGATGAAGAGGCTAATTAGGAGGCCAGGTGGCAGCAGCGGGAAAAGAGGCTAAGTCGTTTCCCATGATAAACATGCCGTGATAGACTCAACCTGAGGACCTGGGCAAGGAACCGAAACGCAAGATGACCCCGAGCGAGAGTCTGAGGTTTTAGGTCCACATGAAGGAACACGGAAGGTGCTGTGACAGCTGAGAAGACGGAGCGAGCAGGGCTTTGGTCTTTGGGACGTTTATTCAGCAGTCAGAATCTTCGTTTTCCTGTGAACATGGGGGAAGAATTGCAAGTTCACCACAACATAAGGGGCGGCCGTGCTGTCCCCGTATATTCTAATTCAGGAGGATAAACCGTAGCTGACGGGCACGGGTAGTCTGAGGGACAGGATGCCTTCCTGATGTACAAACATTCATTGTCTGATTCCTTGTAGTTTTGAAGTAGAATTGAGTAGCAAAAATGATTTTAATAAGAAAATTTTGATTAATGAATTGACCATTTCTGAAATCGCTCGCCATGGAAATATTCCTCCCCCGTTAATACTAGTGTCTACCATGCCCACTTCCCAGGGTTTGGCTTTGTTTTTCGTCACGTCATCTCAGTGATTGCCTGATAATTTAAGTGTCCAACAATATGATGGAAATTGGATGCAAAGTGAAATTGGATTTTTTTCAAGTTGGATTGAAAAGTGAAATTGCCATTTTGTGAAAGATTTCAGGTAATGGAATTTGGAAACCAGAAAATCTGTGAACCTCTGGTCAGTTTTAGCGTCATCCCCAAAGAGACCTGCAGAATTAGGTGCCTTTCGGCTTGATGCCATCGAAAGTGCACAGTGCCTGCCACCTCTGAAGAATGGTGACCCAACATAGATAAATGAATAAGCACAACTGACCACGCCTCTGGGTCAAACCACCAGTTGAGGGGATTAAAGTTATAGTCAGAGATGCAACTAATCTGAACCATGCCGTAATCACTTCAACAGCACAAATGACTGATTCCCGTCAGCCAATAAATGACATAAACAGAATGAAACAGAGAGAGGAAGAAAAAGGCGCGGGAAAATGTCAATGAAACAAACAGCTCGTTGGCCGGTGTCCGTATGGGCTGCTCCGGCAAACACCTCCGACAGGGGCATAAACTCACGGCTCTGGAGGCTGGAAGTTCAAGGTCAGAGCCAGCAGGGCTGGAGGAGGGGCCTCGTCTGGGTCGCTGACTTCTCGTCAACTCAGGTGCTGTGAGAGACGAAACCAGGCAGTGTAAATACATCCTGTCAACAAGCTGCAGAAGAAAACTCATGAGCCCTGCCAGCTGATGCAGAAAAACGTTTAGGAATTCAGCACCTATTCATGAGCGACCCTCTCACCGAGTTAGAGACACAGGTCATTGCCTCCCTTGCTGAACAGCGTCTCCTGCGCACAGCTAACGTCACATGCTACGGCGAGAGACGGAGGCGTTTTCCCTGAGACCAGAGGTAAGGCAAGGATGTCTGTCTCACTCTCCTACTCAACATAGGACTGGAAGTTGTAGCCACTGTAATACTGCAAGACAAAGAAATAAAGGCATGCCTAGTGGAAAGTAAGAAATTAAACTATATTTGCAGGTGATACATATAAAATCCCAAGGAATCTATAAAAATTTCCTGGAACTAAGTGAGCTCAGCACAGTCTGTAGAAATGCAACACACAAAAACAATCACGTGTTTATATGATAATGAATGAACTGGTCAAAACTAAAATTACAAACACAATTCTATTGGGTCTTCAGAAAAGTCATGACATATTTTGTCTATGTTTTTCCAAAGGTCATTTATTTATGTAAAGAACAAAGATCAATCAATGATATATTGCCTGTTTTGTTCGATAACCTTTTGCCACCTTTCAGTGAGCTTCATAATTCCTCATTCATAGAAGAATATGTCTTTATTTGTGAAAAACTAAACAAGGTGCTGATTCACAGCCTCATCTGAATTGAACGTCATACCATGCACCAAGTTTTGAAGGGAGCGAAATAAGTGGAAGTCTGATGGCACAAGGTCAGGCGAGTGTGGTGGGTGTGGCAACACATCCCATCCCAGCTCCAATAATTTTTGACGGGTGATCAAACTTGTGTGTGGTCTCGCGTTGTCACGATGGAACACAATTCCTTTACAATTAACAAGCTCTGGATGTTTCTGGATGATGGATTCGTTCAAACTGTCCAATTGCCGACACATTTGAATTTATTGTTTGGTTCCTTGGTAGGAGCTCAAAAAACACGACACCTTTAAAAGCCCACCACACTGAGAGCATAACCTTCCTCTGATGAATGTCTGCTTTCGATGTCGTTTGAGGCGAATCATCATGTCGGGAATAAGACCGTTTGCAATCACATTGTTGTAAACAATCCACTTCTCATCACCAGTTATCAGTCATTTCAAAAAAGGATCGTTTTCCTCATGTTTAATGAGCATATTGCAGATGTTTATACATGCCGTCAAATGAACTTCTTTGAGCTCATGCAGAACCCAAATATCGAGCTTGCTTATGTATCCCAGCTTCTTCAGGTGGTTGTGAACGCTTGAATGATGGATGTTCAATGTTTCTGCAATCTCTCGTGTCATGTAATGTGGGTTTGACTCGATCAATGCCTTTATTTTGTTGTCATCAACCTCGGTGGGCCTCCCTGACCGAGGAGCGTCATTGAGATCAAAATCACCAGCACGGAATTTCGTGAACCATCGTTGACACTGACGTTCTTGTAGAGCATTGTCACCATAACTTTATGCAACTTTTCCAAGCTTGATGTGCATTCTTCCTTTTATGGAAGTAAAACAGGAAAATATGGCAAAAATGTCAATTTGGTCTTCCATCTTCAACTTGTCATAAAATCTACAAAACTCAACCAAATCGCTCAAATTTTTT